TAGAAACTTATTTAAAGAAACAGTTTAAATATATAGTATAGTTATATGACACATTTCAAAAGTCCCGAGGATATGACAATGGACGAGATTAAGCAACAACTGGCATTGTATCAACGGCTTTACTACAACAAGAGGAAAGAAGACGAGCAATTTATGAAGAAGAAGCGCGAAGCAAGTTTAAGGCATAACCAAAAGAAGAGAATTAAGGAATACATAGAATGGAATAATTTAAGCGAAGAAGATTTGACACCAACGCAAATTAACGAAATTATTACTGATAAAAAACCCAGTGGAAAGAAGCGTGGAGCGCCCAAATACGATATGAATGAATACAAAGTGATTATGCCAAATGCCCTGTAAAATGATGATTTAATAATTTATATTAAATCAATATTTTTTGTTACTTGTTTATATGAGCGAGAAGCAGAAAATTATTAATGATGTATATTTTGATAGAGCCGGTTATGGCTCAAAACAAAGGACGTTAAGTGAAGCGAGGCAGAAGGACAAAACTATAACAATGGCAGATATAAACGAGTTTTTTGGAAAGAATGTTGAACAAAAAAGAAAGCCGGTAGGTCAAAGCAGTTTTATCGCCCCTCATTCAGCGTATGAGTATCAGATGGATTTGTTTTTCATAAACGACTTGGACGAACAAAAGTTTAGAGTAGGTGTTTTGATGATTGATGTTTTTGATAAGTTTATGTATGTCGTGCCGATAAAAAGCAAACAAGAAGGAGATGTAGTGAGTGGAATGATTGAATGTTTAAATAAGATGGGTAAGAAACCCGATATAATTTATACAGACGACGAGGGAGCAATATTTAATGAACAAAGTGGCGAAACAAAAGTATTTGAAGGATAAATACATAGAACATCACCGAACACGGGCACACCCAAGTTTTAGTGAAAGAGCCATGCGCACTTTTAACGATATGTTGTATAGGAGAGTTGTAGCAAATGAAAAAAGGGAAACAAAACATCAAATGGCTGGATTACATATTGGAAATATTATGAACCTAAAAAAATCAAATGAAGCACTCGGCCACGGGTTTTACGCCAAAAAAACCCCAAAAAAACCCAGTAATCAATTCAAAACGTAGGGGATGAAGTTAAGATATTTAAGAAAAGAAAACCAAATGAAAAAGAGAGGGTGAGCAACTGGTCACGGAATATTCATACCATAGAAACTATTGAAGACAAATTAGGTCCAAATTATTATAGAGTTGAAGGTGATGATAGGCAGTATTTGCGAGTTGAGTTGTTAAAGGTTTGAGGGTAAGCAATCTCTAGCGTTTTTCTGCAGGAGTCCAGCGGTTGGGCATATCACACTTCCCATGACACTTTAATCTCCAAAGCCGACGAGCTGGCCATCTGGCCACACTGCCTAAATATGATAGCTGCCCGCTGCTGGCACGTCACACTGTCCAAAAAAATTTCCTCCAAAACAGACGAGCTGGCCATCTGTCCGCACTGCACAAGTATGATATTGGCCCGCTGAGACTGCCAAGACTGGTCCCAAATCTGCTGGCACGTCACACCGCCCTTGGTCCTTTGGTCCAAAGCAGACGAGCTGGCCATCTGTCCGCACTGCGCAAGTATGATGAACGCCCGCTGCGACTGCCCAAACTGGTCTCAAATCAGCTGGCACGTCACACTGCCCTTGTCCATTTTCTCCAAAACAGACGAGCTGGCCATCTGCCCGCACTGCGCAAGTACGAGCTCTGCCCGCTGAGACTGCCAAAACTGGTCCCAAATCTGCTGGCACGTCACACTGCCCAAAAGAATTTTTCCCAAAACAGACGAGCTGGCCGTCTGTCCGCACTGCACAAGTATGATCACCGCCCGCTGAGACTGCCAAAAGTGGTCCCAAATCTGCTGGCACGTTCAACTGCCCAAACCAAAATTCTCCAAAACAGACGAGCTGGCCATCTGTCCGCAGTGCACAAGTATGATCACCGCCCGCTGAGACTGCCAAGACTGGATCAGCTGGCACGTCACACTGCCCTCGTCTATTTTGTCCAAAACAGACGAGCTGGCTATCTGTCCGCACTGCGCAAGTATGATCATCGCCCGCTGCGACTGCCGAAACTGGTCTCAAATCTGCTGGCACGTCGCACCACCCTTGTCCCTTTAATCCGAAGCAGACGAGCTGGCCATCTGTCCTCACTGCACAAGTATGATATTGGCCCGCTGAGACTGCCAAAACTGGTCCCAAATCTGCTGGCACGTCACACCGCCCTCGTCCCTTTGCTTCGAAGCAGACGAGCCGGCCATCTGTCCGCACTGCAGAAGTATGAGAGTGACTCGCTGAGACTGCCAAATCTGGTCCAAACTCCGCAGGTTGCACTAAGGAATTGCTGGCAATTTGAAGATATTTGGAATGCGGCGAGGATGCGGAAGTCCGACTCCGTGACTGACTTAGCGTGGGAACGCACCAGAAGCCAGGACGGATTGCAAGAGACGACTGAAATGCAGGCGTTTGTGTCCAGAAAAAGAAAAAGGCAAGTGCCAGGACAGCTTTCATGGCCATTGAGAGATGGATGTAGGAGGAATTGCTCCAGGGAGGGCGTGGTTGAAGCTGAAAGGCGGAAATCCAAACAAGTAGATAAAGTTATGATAGTTCTTTGTCGATACGACCTTATTCCTAAACCTTATTCCTATTATCAATATTTTATTAGAGAAGATCATTTCCATTTTCTAGGGTTAAGGATTTCAGGCTGGGGAATATGGTTTTCTATGGGGTTGCGGGTCTATGGGGCTGAGGTTGGGTTTTTTCTACGTGGTGGTGTATGGTTCTTCTGGTGGTTCAGGGTTTATTTAGGGTTTAGGGCTTAGGGTTTAGGGTTTAGGGTTTAGGGTTCCATCATCTGGGTATTTGGGTTGGGCTTTTTGGTGGGTTTAGGAATGAGGCATAGGTTGTTACGGTTTGGGGTCTTCAGGTGGGTCTTTCCTAGGGATCTACCTATGGGTCTTGGATGGGTTGAAGGTTGAGGTATAGGTTGTTATGGTTTGGGTGCTAGGGGGTGGAGCATGATTAGAAAATGGAAATGGTCATTGCTAACTCAATAACCCTAAGCTTCAATCTAGGGGTCTGGATAGATCAGGTTCTGTGGTAAATTACATGACAAGTAAAATAAGCAATCCCGAGGAATGACAGTGGTAATGATTTATGTTCCTATATTTACTTATTGCGCTACTACCCCTAATCTCAATATCCGAAACCACATCACCTCCGATGAAACAGCGACGAAACCCTCCTCATGCCCCACACCCCTGCTAAAGGGTACTTTATAGGAACCCTCTTTAAGGGATCTGCTGTTTGAATCCTCCCTGGGTCTGAAAACCCTAGACCCTACTATACTAAACCTTAAACTCCGACATCCAAAACCTTAAATAACGTCCCATAACCCACCCCCCCTCCCTACCCAAAACCCTTACGCCCGAAAGCCTTAAAACCCTAACCCCCCCACCCAAAAGCTAAATGGGTGGTTGTCAAAATTATCGTCCNNAAGGGACCATAATTTTGAACTACCCAAATAAAAACAAATTCACTTTTCCCGGCCTCCTGTGCTTCCTGGGCCCCATCTGCAGGTGCACCGGCCTTAATCGTGGCCTCAGGGCAGACTTGAGTTTCAGATTTAGGGTTTAGGATTTA